CCGCTTTTGCAAAAGTGCTTTTTAATACAGTGGGGTCTTGACTTGAGAACTTAATCCGTATTGGAAGGCGGTTCTCAAGTCAAAAAGTCTGTAAGTCAAGTCTCCATTGACCTACAGTGCATTGAAAACCGATTAATCCCATAACAGGCCGTTTTTGTTCCATTTTGGTTTTTTTCTGGTCTGTAAGTCAAATCTCAGTCTGCAAGTCAAACCTAAATTTTGCAGCCAGAGAAGTCTGTAACTCAAAAAGTCTGTAAGTCAAGCTGTCTGTAAGTCAAGGGTCTACTGTAAAGGAGAGCTGCTTGTATTCATGGTTGTCTGGTTACTGCATTTAAGGGTGTGAGCATTTCTCACAATCGGAGCCAAGGGGTGAGCATTTCTCACACTGGCACCACCAGCTTCCTCCTTCTCCTCTCCTTCCTTCCTTACTCCCTCCTACATCCTTTCCTTGTTGCCACATAACAGTAAGGGGCAACTCCTATCTTAGGTAGAAGATGAGTTTCCAATTGGCCTCAGCAAGCATTAACTTCTTTCTCTACCAATTTGGAGAATTATTATTTTGTTGTTGCCTTGATTCTTGTTAGTTCAATCTAAAACTCATTAAAGGAACTTCCTAACTCATTTTATTGGCAGATACAAGAAGCATAAACTTACTGTATTTCTCTTTTGCCAGGGCTGAGCAGCTGTGTAGCTAAGTTAATTAACATAAGCACACTAATTATTTGCAAATTTGTTAGAGTATGTGGGCAGAGGAGGAAAACACTGAAAATGGAAAATGTATTAATAATTGTTTGCTTTGTGAATGTGATCTGGATGAAACCAAGTAATAAAGCATCTCATGTACTTTTATGATGTTTGTTCCAGTAAGTGTTGGGTGGAAGAATTTTAAGTCAGGGAAGGTGAGTAAAAAGTTCATACTAAATAGCTGTCTTATCATACATAGCAGATTAATTAAAATTAATTAATTCATTCAGTGTATATACTTTCCAAATGACAAATATACTCAGAGTAGCTAACCAATATGAAGTCCCAAACAGCTGGTAAAATCACAGGATAAACAAGTAATCCATCTGATTTACTGTTCTGCCTATTCAGTGTCTACAGCTGGAGAAAAGCAGTAGAAGTAAGCATGCCAAGAATCTAGCCCATATAGATGTTAAATTTCTCCTTTACCAGAGTTTTCTGTTTCCTTCCTAAAGATTTCCAACATTTTTTTAAAAAAAACCTTCCTCTACCACCAACCCCTCTCTGACATGGCAATCTAATCTCCAGTGATAAGAGAACCAGCAGCATTCTGGAAGAAAATGCAACTTCCTGTTTTTCAGGGGAATATTATATACAATTCTTTAGTTTTCATGCAAATTATATGCAAAGTCTCTGTTACAAAATTCAGACAGTTCTCTGTTTAACTCATCACAAAGCAAGCTTCTTCAGCTATCAATTTTGCTTTATAAATATATAGAGGATGCAATCCTTGGCATATGTTCCAGCGTGTAAAGTCCTGACAGAGTGGGGCTTTTTCCAGAACAGGATTATTGCATGGTATCTTTTTAAAACGGCAATATCTGAGTTTATTAATAACCCTGTTTTAGGTTCTTGAGATAAATACTCTAAGCTCTTGCTTAAAAGCTTTCTATTCCACTATGTCAAGTAGAAAGTATTTCATGGTAGCTGACACATGCAATCGTGCATACAAATATAAAGAGCAAAAGAAATAATAACATGGATTCTAGGTAATTCAGAGTAAAGCTAGCAGAAGGGAGATTTCTTGTCTCTTCTTTCCCTGCAGCCACTAAAGTACTCCAAAAAGTTATTTATGGTTAGAAACACATGAGTTGCAGAAGTAAGTAAAGACAGTTTCTGCATCTTCAGTAGTTTGTGTAACAAAGCAATGAAGAGGTTCAGCTGAGGGAACCAGAGGGAGACTGTTAGTAGCAGGGCAAATTCATATGTGGGATGTCTCATTTTAAACCATAGATGACAGGATCCTATTGGAGATTTACCATAAATTTGTTATTGTTGTTGTTTAGTCGTTAAGTCATGTCCGACTCTTCGTGACCTCATGAGCCAGAGCACCCCAGGCCCTCCTGTCCTCCACTGCCTCCTGGAGTTCGGTCAAATTCATGTTGGTAGCTTCGATGACACTGTCCAACCATCTCATCCTCTGTTGTCCCCTTCTCCTCTTGCCTTCACACTTTCCCAACATCAGGGTCTTTTCCAAGGAGTCTTCTCTTGTCATGAGATGGCCAAAGTATTGGAGCCTCAGCTTCAGGATCTGTCCTTCCAGTGAGCACTCAGGGTTGAATTCCTTCAGAATGGATCGGTTTGTTCTCCTTGCAGTCCAGGGGACTCTCAAGAGCCTCCTCCAGCACCGCAATTCAAAAGCATCATTTCTTCTGCAGTCAGCATTCTTTATGGTCCAGCTCTCCCTTCCATACATTTTATTTATTTATTTATTTATTTATTAAATGTGTATCCCGCCCATTTAGACAGTGTCTACATTGCTACTGGCAAAACCATAGCCTTGACTATGCAGACCTTTGTCGGCAAGGTGTTGTCTCTGCTTTTTAAGATGCTGTCTAGGTTTGTCATTGCTTCCCTCCAAAGAAGCAGCCGTATTTTAATTTCGTGGCTGCTGTCCCCATCTGCAGTGATCATGGAGCCCAAGAAAGTAAAATCTGTCACTGCCTCCATATCTTTCCCTTCTGTATGCCAGGAGGGGATGGGACCAGTGGCCATAATCTTAGGGGGTTTTGATGTTGAGCTTCAGACCATTTTTTGCGCTCTCCTCTTTCACCCACATTAAGAGGTTCTTTAATTCCTCCTCACTTTCTGTCATCAGAGTGGTATACTGTAGTCTGCATATATAAGGTTGTTGATATTTCTTCCGGCCTTCCGCAAGATGTATTCTGCATATAAGTTAAATAAGCACTGAGACAATATACAGCCGTGTCGTACTCCTTTCCCAGTTTTGAACCAATCAGGTGTTCCATGTCCAGTTCTAACTGTTGCTTCCTGGGAGTTCTTGATCCATGTACTGCTAAGGCCTACCTTATAGCATAATCTTGCTAGCATGTGAAATGAGTGTTTTCTACTATAAATACAATTTTATATCGTTAGCAAATAGATAGCAAATTGTCACTAATTGATGAGTTGCCGTTCATGTTCCTGACTGCATGCCTTACTTTAAAAATAGTTTTGAACAGCTGGGAGGTGTTTGCTTTTCACAGTTGCTTAACTTGTTAGGATTAAACTGATGCTGTCACTTCTTCTGAACCCCAGTTCCTCCAGGATCAATGTGGATGGATGGGGGCATATGCAAATTTTTTTTTTAAATCCTCTGAGGAACTGGGTGGAAAATGCAAACTATGTTCCTAGAGGCAAGGCTGCATTTGAACTTGCCTCTCAGAATGCCATGAATTTTTGGGATTCTCATTTACAGTTATTCAGCCGTATCCATACATTATTGATGCATAGTCTGAAGAAGTGAATTTGACCTATGAAAGGTTGCTGTTTGTTTTAAGTGATCTAATAGATATTGCCTGCTGTTGCATTTCAGTACTGTAGTTTTAAGTACCACATAGCCTTTTCCTAATTTTTCCAAGATCTTGGTTACCATATGTCCCAGATTTATATACAAACATAAGAAACACAGGCTCTTCTTTTCTCCGATGTTATCATTAAAAAAAATTGTTCTGACAGTCTTGCTTGCAGAATTGCATGCATACTATTCTGATTATGTATATAACTTAAGGGAAGAATTTGGGTAACTGTCATAAAAAAAATTAGTTAGCCTTGGCAGTTGTGTGACATCCATCCATCTTACCATTCTGGCTTCTCACACTCCCTGATTTATGTCAGTACTGTATGTCTGACTTGATTTCTGTAACTGTTAAATCGTTTCCATTTACAGCCGCAACCTTATCGTATTGCTCTTTGTGATTCACAGTGACATAGTGAAGTACTGTAGCACAAAACAATCTTGGTACGCTTTATGCATTTAAAGAAGAAAAGAGGAATTAAAGCACCTGTTCTGGTTGCAGTTTGTATGCGCAGTCAGGAAGTGTGTTCAGCTTATTAAGCTGAGATATGATCTTACAGATATGGACTGAGTGTTTGTATTGTGAGATGCCATCATTGCAATAAGGGCCGAATCCCATTAGCAATTTCAGAGTGTGACTGCTCCGCAGATAGAGCACCCCTGGCCGTGCAGGAATGGGATCACCCGGTTCATGCAGCTTCCTCTTTTTTTCATTCCTTTCACATTAAACTGTGGTTTAGCATTACATGTAAATACAGCTATTGTAATATTCTTTCCTTGTTTTAAAGTTGTGGATCCTTGGCTTTGTTGATAAAATTTGATACCGTGGCAAATTCCAGGTATACTTTTTATGTCTAAAATGAGCAACAGGCAACCCATGGGCCACATGTGTCTCCAGCATGCATAGGGCTCCTGCATCCCCTTGTTTAAAAAAAAAAAAAAGCAGAATAATACTCTTCAAGTCCTAATGTGCCCTCCAGAGAGCTACTTGGGGACAATCTTGCCATGTTCAGAGGTGCTCCCAGCATCTCCTTCTTATATTGGCTGTTAGATGCCTTAAAACACTGGGGGGAGGGGTGGCTTTTCTTTTTTTAGTTCAACCATTTTTAGGCCAGATGGGCGGGGTATAAATCAATCAAACAAACAAACAAACAAACAAATAAATAAATAAATAAATAAATAAATAAATAAATAAATAAATAAAATTTTTCAGTTACTAAAGACCCACTATATTGACATTTATTGTGGATAATCACTCTGTTATTGGTGGTGGTGGTGGTAGTAGTAGTAGCAGCAGCAGTATTTTAAATACAGATTAGTGCTTTTTCTCGCTTGCCCTCAGTAACCCTACAATGAGATTTTTTAAAAAGATCTGTCAAAAGTCCCCAGTGTATTGTCAGACTGTGTGATAAATCAAGATAGAAGTGTATAACTAAGTGCGCGTCTCTTTTTATTGCAGGATTAGGCTTCTAGAAGTTCTCGAGAAAATGTGGTGAACAACAGATTGCTGTATTTACAGGAGGGAAATTCTGGTAAGCAACTCTATGTCTTCAAACATATTTCTGCATTTTCCTCCATTAAAGCTTTTCCACTGTTTTTATTCTAGTGTAATTTCTGCTTACGTGGAAACCTACAATTTTGCAAAGTTGGTCACTGTTGTGGAAAATATTTATTCTGTTTTGTTTTCATGGAGACTTAAGTTATAATGAGAAACTCAAGCTGAGCCTTTAAGCAAGGACTGGACTGGGAAGTTTAATTTCTCAAATGGCTTCTGCTTATTGTGCAGTGGCTTTTGTAAAGCACTTAAAGCCTGGGAGCTAAAATCTGAAGGAATAATATCATAAAGGCAGGCTTCAAAACTGAAATTTCATTATGTTACTATGAAAATTGTACCAAAATCCAGATAGAAATAAAGACACCTGTATAAGAAAGATGCATCAAAACTGTTTTGCAATAGGCATTGTGTAAAAACTGGCATACCATGGCTGTTTCTCATCTCTTAGTCCTTTTCTAAATTGATCTGCTTCTTCTATGACACTATTACTTATTAGATCAAAGTGAGACATATGAAACTCTTAAGCAATTAAACAGATAGAGAGTTCTCTTTATAGGATATAATCTCCCACAGAAATTTACTTTGGTCCATCATTTTCCTAAATCGTTGGAAAGATATGTTTACGTAGGACTCAGATGCCTGAGAATTGAACTGAAAGTCGTGTTTCAGTTTAAATGGATGTGAACTCCAGAACGTGACTTACTGGAGTGTTTTTATTTACCTGCTTAATCCAGTGTATTATCTATCTACAACATCATTATTGCTGGCAGCTTTTGCCTAATAGAGCTGATGGCAGAGGGCAGGATGATGGAGAGTGGTGCTAAAGAGAGATCATGACAAAAGGAGGAGGTCCCAGTTTGCTACCCATCATCCTCTCTTGTCAGTACCCTTAGGGCCCTTAAGCATCTCATTTAGATGGAATATAAGTAAAATGAAGAATTGTTTCCCATCTTGGTTCAAAATGACTCCTTCCTGTCACTCTCAGTTGCTGCTGTGCTCTGCTGAGATAGCAAAGCTAATATTGTGGTTTAGAACACGGTGCCTCACAAAAACAGGGTTTGCAAGTTGCACAAAACTAAACGGGAGCAACTGAGGGCAATACAATATTTGATCAAGGTGAAGCCAATAGCTTGTTATAGACAAACAAACAAATAAATAATAAATAAATACAAATTGTCACATTTTAAAGACTAACAGATTTATTTCAGTCTGAACTTCAATGAATTACAATCCACTTTCAGACAACTTAATGCATAATAGTTATACTGTAGGTTTATATATATAGCATACATAGTGGAAGCGTGGGGACCAGCTGAGGTGGGTAGTGATCCTTCAGAGTTACACTGGTTCAAGTTATAAGGAGTCAAAGTGCTGGTCACCATAACACACTGTCATTAACCATCAAATGGTTGTGCTGAAGTGGAGTCATGTGAAAGGAGAAAATCCCTTAACTGTAGCTGTACAAAAGATGGTGGCTAAATCTGGACTATTAGTATGTACAGTCTGTTCAGGATCCTTAATGTACACTGCCGTCTGTGAATGTAGTCCACTTCAGCTGTTTCTCTTTTGAATCTGTCTTCCCGTAGCAGTTATGCTAAAATCTGTAATAGAGTGTCCTGAGAGGTTTAAATGATCTGAAAATGGCTTTTATGTGTTGCTGTTTCTGATCTTAGATTTCCATTTGTTCAGTTATGTAGAAATTGTCGTATTTAGTCTAATGTAGAACAGATTAGCAGTCTTGGTTCTGACCAAGCCATTTAGGACTTGGAAGTTCAAAGCAAAGGCTTTGAAATGAGCATAGAAAAAGACCAGAAGTCTGTGCTTATAGGCAAGTAATTGGCAATAAGATTGCTTAGTTTTAGTTAGCAGGTTCACCCCCACTTTTAGGATATTTTTAAAAGTAGCCCCCATTTCATTGTGAAACAGTCCAAACAAAAGTTTACCAGAGCATGAATAAGTACCATAGAATTATTTCTGTCCAAGTATGGTTATCATTGATATATCAGTCTGAGGTGAATTCAAGAGTACTCTCAAAATACAAACTTTCTGTCACACCTAAAATAACTTGGATCCTCTCCAAGTTATTTTAGGTGTGACAGAAAGTTTGTCACACAGAAAGTTTGACCAAACAGCGCATGAGCCAGGGCCAAACATTTTACCAGGGCTGCTGAATAATGGTGTTGAATGTGTGTTTTGTTTTTATTTTACAAGATCTGTACTTCAATAGAAGGAAATACAGATGTTGTTATTGCCATCTTACATCTTTCTTATGATGCTGAATTGGGCATTTACAGTGATGCCTCGCACAATGATTACTTCATACAACGACAAATTCACACAGCAATGGGTTTCTTTGAGGAATTTCCCCCATCGTTTAACGATGTTCTCTATGGGGGAATTTCACTTAACAATGTCCCTTTTTCGCTCCTGTAAAAGTGTCTTAAACTGTTTGAAACCTTTTTTAAATGCTTGCAATCGTTAGCCCACCTCCTGAACCCTATGCAAACTTAATTTGGTGTTGTTCTGAGTCGTCGTTAATTTTTGGTGAATTTTTTTATTTTCCATTGAAAGCCTTTCAATGGCCATTCAAAGGCTTTCAATGGAGAATAAATAAATTCACCAAAAATTAACGACGACTCAGAACAACACCAAATTAAGTTTGCATAGGGTTCAGGAGGTGGGCTAACGATTGCAAGCATTTAAAACAGGTTCCAAACATTGTAAGACACTTTTACAGGAGCGAAAAAGGACTTCACAAAGCCATTGAAATGCATTGAGTCGGCTTCAATACATTTCAATTGGGGAACCGGGTTTCACTCAACGATGTTTCCTATGGCGATTTTCGCTTAAGGACGGCAATCCGTTCCAATTGGAACGGATTAACCAGTTTTCAATGCATTCCTATGGGAAATGGTGTTTCGCAGAACGATGGTTTCACACAGCGATGAATTTTTTGGAACCAATTAACATCGTTGTGCGAGGCACCACTGTAGTTCCTAGTTTTTTAGCAAATTGCTGTGTGCAGAGTCTAAATACTTTATTTGATTGTGCACCACAGAATACAAGTTAGGAAACTCTGTATCGCATATCTTCATCATTGGGAAACTCTTCCCAATGAGGTGCATTATCATTCTGTGGAATAGAAGGTATTGTTTTTTGTAAAAGTACATTGGTGCTCAGTGACTACAAGTCTAAGTTATGAATAAAAGAATTGTTGCTGGGCTCACCAACTCGAAATTACATTTCCATACCACCAAGGGATCCTCCCCTATGGCATGCTATAGAGACAAATGCACAAAAAATAGTAGTTTCACATGTTAAATGCAGATTTTGTTTAATTTGTCTTATGAGTATGTGATAATCGTAATGACTATTCATGTCCTTAGCAGCAATAAGCTTGCCACGCTCAGAACTCAAATCCCGAATACCTGCGCTGGACACTTTGCGCACCCCAGTACACTTAACTCATTTTCTATGAACACACATTTTGGTAGCTTACATTGCAGGTTCTCAGAATGAGCATGGTCTGAGGTGCTGGCAGGCCCTGCAATCAGAGTACAAGTAGCTGCCCATCTCATATCCCATATTTCAATTCACCTCTCCTTTCTTAATGCAGAATGGGTGGTACCTTCAGAAAGTCTGGAAGCATAAAGTGGGCATGTCAGTATCTCTTTCCCATTAGCTCTGTGCACAAATTGCTCTCTTGGCCCAACTTTACACAAATTTCCTTTGCAGCTTGACTGTGTTCCAAGATTTTGTAGGGCACCTGCGTTTTCTTAGATACAGATGCACTTAACACTATCACAGCCAGTGTTTGCATGCATGTATTCCAGTTAAAGTCCCACATGTGCCTTTTTTAGGCCTTTCTAATAAATGGTTCATACACCTTCCAGCATCACAGGTATCAAATCATACATAAGTCTCCTTTCCCAAGGGGAAAACAATATGTCAGGTGTGTAATATATCTAATAATCAGATGATAAACTGGGCAGGGCAGGGCAGGGTCTTTTGCAACCCTGGATTTCTCGTGCTCTCTGACCAAGGTGGTTTATGAGTAGCCTTCTAAGGGCAGGCAAGGGCAGGAACACTGGAAACTAAATGATGAACATGTGACTACACTATTCTATATCCATTCTCTTTCCTTCAGGCCAGACTGTGGCATTATAGTGGGCCAGGGTCTAGTAAATCTTTATAGCTGCTAATAATCTCAGTGATGTAGTACTGTATTATTTCACGAGAGCCATCTTTATTTCACAAGATTATCCATATGGATAATCCTGCACTCCTATTTTATGCTTGGCTACTTGACATCTTCAGTGTACTCCATTCTGAAATTAATGATACTTAAAACACTGCCAATCAACAGCATGTATTTCCACTTTCCATCTTGGCATAATAACCATCATCTCCCTCTCCCTCTTTTCTAGAACGTTATAGTGCAATCTTACACATGCTTCTATGGCTTCCAGTTTGCTCAATGAAACTTGCTTCCAAATAAAGCCACATACAATTGAAGCCTTAGCATTCAAGTATGCCATCATGCTTAAAATTCTGCAGCTGCACATACCTTGTCTATAAGCAGATATAATTGTACAGTACAAATGACATGTGGTCTGCATTGCCAAAGCTTTTGAATTTACGGTTTTGGGTTACACAAAGGCTCTATTTAGATGAAAATAAATATGTTCCAACTGTTAGGGCAACCAGTTAGCATACATGCTGCTTAGAAAATGTATAAATTTCAAAATGAATAATTTACTTTAAATCTTGATGTGCAGTACAGTCCTATATGCATCTTCCTGGGAAGCAAGTCCCATTATGTGCTATGCAATGTAATCTGGAACATGTGTGTATATAAAATTAGATCTTAAATCAAGTTGATTTAAATCAGTATTCAATTTATGGATATCAAATGGAAATTTATTAAATAATTCTCTAGCTTCTTTGGCTTCCACACAAAGAAATGCTTCTAACGTT